ACGCGCGCAGTGACCAGCTTTACCTTTGGCTTGGGGCTGCTGACGTACTTGTTGATGGCTCGGCGATGGTGAGTACCATAACGAAATGGCCCGAAAATAAGAAGTGGGTAAACCTCGAAAATAGATGCGGTGCAATGACGGGACAATTTATTGCGAGACTACCATATCGAAGCAGCGTGCTTGGCTTCAACATCCATAAGGAAGACGACGCACGTGAAATATGGGCAAGGAGGTCGTTATCCTATAGGAGCCCGTGGATATGCCAGGTCATTGGCATGATGTCAAGTAAGTCACTGTAGTTCTATGCTGATACCACCAGATGTCGACCGCTTATTCGCTCCGAGCTACAGTATTGCATTTACACATTCCCTCGCATTGTTTCGATGTGGTCCACGCGTCCTGTTTCATTTGGCGTCATAAAAGGTGTGAACCGCGTCGAAACAAGGTAATGTTTAAGCAGAGCAATATGCCCTGATTGTGAGGCATGCCCTTAGATTCTCGATAAAGATTTAGTTGAAAGAGCGATCTTATCCAGCAGCTTGTTTCACATGCTATCGGATAAATGAAGTAAAATATCTTGAGTTGCTAACGACGTTTCGCCTATGTTGTTAGCAGGGTTCATAAGACTAGTGAAGCTAATGATCGTGACGGCTTTAGTTGAAAGGGTTTAATCCTCGCAGTACCTTTTGCACAGCTTCTCCACCTCCGACACCTCTCCGCGTTCGAGTCACCTTCAGCGCCATATCCTCTCGTGATGCGGTCCCACACATCAGTTACCTCTTGGGTGTCGACGGTTCTAATTATGCATTGTTCGTGCCTTTCATTATCGTCAGGACTTATGTAAAATGAAGGTTACCTTTTTGGGTCGTATTTGGACATGACCTGGATTTTGGTCGGGCATGCATTCTGCGATAATTCCAGCATTATCGAGCGTTCTGTCGGCAAAATAAGACAATCCATCAGTCGAAAGAGCTATCAGACTCCTCCTTTGAGCTTGACAAACATCCCAATGACGACACTGACAGCTCCGTGGGCAGTATATCGAAAGATGACGCAAGCTCAGCGAACCAGTCAAAACTGCCCTTTAAAATGTGCCTAACAGATCACAGCGGGTATCACAGGTAGTCTACGACAAGAGAATATGTAGTTCTAACACTTCGTTGGTTCATGCATACCTAAAACTAGCAAATGAAGCAAATAACGGACTGTGAACGCCTGGTTTGAATTAAGGCCTAAATAACCTATCCTACCATAATCCCGTCATGTCTGCATACAACCCAAGAAAAGCCTTCCTAATATGAATTCTGTAGAGATTGATCGTATCGAGTGGAGCTTCACTATCTTCTACAGTACTTCGAAGTCATATGTAATGGATCTCTGGCAAGTAGTTAAGGCGTCCCATCTATTAGGCATGGAAATGAAGGAGGACGGGAGAAACCTTGCATTTTGTAGCTCGGAGCGAATAAGCGGTCGACATCTGGTGGTATCAGCATAGAGCTACAGTGACTTACTTGACATCATGCCAATGACCTGGCATATCCACGGGCTCCTATAGGATAACGACCTCCTTGCCCATATTTCACGTGCGTCGTCTTCCTTATGGATGTTGAAGCCAAGCACGCTGCTTCGATATGGTAGTCTCGCAATAAATTGTCCCGTCATTGCACCGCATCTATTTTCGAGGTTTACCCACTTCTTATTTTCGGGCCATTTCGTTATGGTACTCACCATCGCCGAGCCATCAACAAGTACGTCAGCAGCCCCAAGCCAAAGGTAAAGCTGGTCACTGCGCGCGT